TTCCTACAAGCAGTGCATGAGGGTTCTAGTATCTCCACATCCTCACCAACACTTGCTATTGTCTGTCTTTTTTTAAATCCTTGCCTGGGTACATGTTCATTGATTTTAGAGAGAGAGAAAGAGAAAGGGGGAGAGGGGGAGGGAGAGAGAGAAAGAAACATTGATTTGTTGTTCCACTTATTAATGTATCCTTGGTTGATTCTTATATGTGCCCTGACCCCCAGGAATCAAACCCTCAACCTTGGCGTATTGAGATGATACCAACTGAGCTACCCAGCCAGGGCCTCTCTTTGCTATTTTATATATCTCTCTTTTTTCATGGATTTGTTTGAACATGTAATAACTAAGATGACTATTAATGAGAGTGAGAAAACTAGTAACTCTATTTTGAATTTTTGGTTGTATTATAAAGTAAGATGTCAGATTATAAATTAATGAGGCAGCATGTTAGAGACCCTAAGAGCAGCCCCGAGAGCTCACAAATCTCTCACACTGGTGGGAGAGCTGCCCACAGTGGCTCCTTGAAGGGGGAGGCACACGTATATAGGTCAGCTCTGCAGTTGCTAAAATATCATCTTATTACTTTATAGATCCATTTCAGCAGCTCTTATCACTCCACAAAGGTGACATGGTACTCTACGTCTGCATTTTTATGAGTTCTCCAACCACATTAGTGCCTTAGAGAGCAATATTAACAGGCTGGATGAGAGACCCAGAGCCTTGTGTTTGGCCATAGCTTCTGGTGCATTTGGGGAGAAAGAGTTGAGATCAGCATCTTCAACAGTAACCCTGCCAAGGAAGCCCTGAGCTGGAACAGTGCCCTTGTGTGCAGGGACTTGTCCCTGTCTGTTGGCTCAGCATCTCCTTGGGAACCTGACTACATCTATATTGGCGCGTGAGCTTTAGGGCTTTGGTGCCTTCCTGCTGTCATTTTCAGCTTCTATTGCTATTTTGAAGGGTATGTCTGGATGCCTCTGATGCACCACGTTTCAACTCTAAATTATTAGCCACTAGCTGTGATCACTGGGGTGTGTGCCCCATGGATACAGCATACACAATGGCATTCGTCATCCCAGTGTAAGGACCCTGTCTAACAAAGCAACCAAGACTTTTAAATACTCTATAAGGTGCACAGCAAATGGCAAAAGCCTTTGTCTAGAACAAATTTTTGACATCACAGAGAATTCTGGCATTTGTTGACATTTCAAGGTCTCTAACTCATGGCATCTTGGAAGGTTTTCTTCAGTGAATCCTGCTATGGCCTTAACCTTGAAGGCCCTTCTGCTTCCCTGCCTGAAAAGAACCTTATTCAATCAGGAGTATCTCAGGTTAGATGTCATCCAACCTCTACTCCATCATCCGGTCTCATGCTCTAGAATATCTCTGTATCTCGAGCGCAGAGCCCTCCCTTCGGCTTCATGGAGGCCAGTTCTGCATGTCTGTCTCTGACATGGGTTAGGGGCTAGTGGAGAACATAGACTCTCTTATTTCTTTTTTTTTTTTTAATATATCTTTATTGATTTCAAAGAGAGGAAGGGAGAGGGAGAGAGAGAGAACCATCAATGATGAGAGAGTCATTGATCAGCTGCCTTCTGCACACCTCCGACTGGGGATCGAGCCCGCACCCCAGGCATGTGCCCCAACCAGGAATCGAATGGCCATCTCCTGAATCCTAGGTCAATGCTCAACCACTGAGCCATGCCGGCCAGGCAGACTGTCTTCTTATGCATCATCCTTGTCTGCTCACCATTCCCACATCTGGGATTATGAGCCTGGGATGGGCGGGGCCAGTGGTGAATGCCTAAAATTTTGTTGAATAGAAGTTGATTTCAACAAATAGTATGTATTTACTAAATTCATAAGAAAGTGATATATTTTCTTAATGCTAAATTCTGTGTTAATGAGTATCTTGGTAAATTTTCAGAGATTAAGGTATTTTTTTATTGATTTTGGTAAATAGTAATAATATGATTTCAATGAGAAAAAGAAATAATTCAGGAGGATAATCACTTACATTTAGAGGGAATAAAGGGTTCATGGAGGATGTGGCAGTTGACCAAGGCCTTGAAGGATGGTTAGACATTTCCTAAGGAGAGAAGCGTGGGTGTGAGTCAGCAGAAGAAGGAAATATGGGCAATTACTTTGAGGCAGTGAGGACACTCTTTGGCTAGAAAAGGTTGTGCTTAACGCAGAGACATGGTGGAATATGAAAATGAAGTTAATTTGGGAAAACATTTTGGAGGAACTAAAGTTCCTGGGTGAGTGTTTGACCTTTACGGGAAGCAATCAACCATGGACAGTATTGAGTATGGGATGGCCGTGAGTGTCTGTGCTGGGTTCTGGACTTGTGGGTGGAGCAGAGGTCCAGTGATCTGGAAGTGGCCAGGCTCACAAGGGGACTCCGACTGGCTCAATGGCGCCTCCTCTTGGTGATCTCTCTACACCTATATGTGATATAAAACCATAGAATGTCAAATCTCCTTCAAGGAAGCTTTGCTCAGGGATGGTGCTGGGAAAATCGCTTAGCTGGTTATAGAAAAATCAATGTTCCCGTCTGCTTCATAGCAAACACTGAAATATCTGCCAACCCTCCAAATAGGCTGGCGGCTCGAGTTCTGTTGTGAACTTAGCTAAACCTAAAAAGAAAGTTGAAAGACAATAAGAAAATGAGATGATAGATTCAACGACATGCAGAAATTTAGGTATTTATGTATCTTCCACTCCACCCATCACAAGCTCTGAAACAAACTATACTGCAAAAATGCTTACATGGAATACAGATGAGGGCTATTATCGAAAGGACATAAATGAGTAGAAAAAAGAGTAAGGAGAGAGGAAAATGGGTGCCTAGTAAATCAGATCACTTATGAGATTAAAATGCAGAGGAGAATCACCTAGGAAGGGTTCAATCAAAGCCTTCATTCAATGCAACTAGAGTTTTTTCCCCATGGAAATTAGCAGAAGTTATCTTTAAAAACATTATGTAATGTTGTTAAGTTCACAGGGTGAGATAGGCCCTTCTATGAAGTGCTCGCAGCGGAGTGGACACTGGTGTGATTATTATGCAAAATAATTTGGCCTTGAAAACTGCCCGAGCGATTCTGTTTTCGGCATATTCATCCTAAGGAAATAAGTCTAAATGTAGCAAAAGCAGTCTGTTCAAAGGTACTCTTAAGAGTATTGTTTATAATTTTGGAAAAATGGAAATAACCTAAAGTTACAACATTCAGGAAAATGTATTTATAGACTTTAGAGGACATACGTATGTACTTGGCATGTATATAATGTGTATTAATGTATATACATTTAAAATTGGAATTTTAAATTTTGTTCACAAGTAATTTGTAATAAGTGTGAAAATATTTATGTCATAATGATAGAATGATGTATACATTTGATAAGTGCCATGGAAGGAGACCACACACACACACACACACACATACACGTGCAGGCTCACACACACACACAGGCTCATGCACACACAGGCTCACACACACACACAGACTCACACAGGTTCACACACACACACACAGGCTCAAACACACAAGCACATACAGGCACATACACACAGGCTCACCTACACCCATAGGCTCACACACACACAGGCAAACACACACACACACATATACAGGCTCACCCACACACACAGGCTCACACACATACAGGCTCACCCACACACACAGGCTCTCACACACACACAGGTGCACACACACACACAGGCTCACGCACACACACAGGCACACACGGGCTGGAGGAAATTTCCCACACCACCAGCCTTGAAACGCTGGCTCTCTTAAGTGCTTTCTGGTTTCCTTTATGTGATTCTGGCTGACAATGTGGTTGATGGGAAAGTGGAGACTGGAGGTAAAAGGCATCTTCTGCACGGAAGCCGTAGTCCTAGGAGTGAATCAGGCTGCTGAAGAAATAGAAAGACAGAAGCAGGAAGGGCCGGGCACTGAAGTCTGGGAGACGCATGTGTTGGGGGCGGAGACCAGGAGCCTGCAGGCTCGGAGAAGGAGCTCATGAAATCAAGGGCCCCTGAGCTCGGAGCAGCCATGTCAGGAGAGCTCCGTCCATCAGTGGGGTGCAAGGGCGAGGCTGGGAAGTTGTTTAGAGATGTGCTTTGGGTTTTCACTGGTTGCCCTTCAGTCAGCTTCGTTAGAATCCTCAGGAGCTGATAAGTGACGGTTGATGTGGAGAGGAGCAAGTGTAAGCCCAGCCCGCCTTGCTCCAGGAAAACAAACAGAGAAGGCAAATTTAAGGAAATGACGCACGATCAGTGGGCCTGTTCCTTGCTCTGCAATGGGGGTGCCCACTGGGTTCCCAGGGACCCACACATCTGTGCCAGTGTCACAACATCACATCTGTGCCAGTGTCACAACATCACAACATCTGTGCCAGTGTCACAACATCACATCTGTGCCAGTGTCACACATCACAACATCAGTGACACAATATCATAACATCTGTGCCAGTGTCACATTACAACATCTGTGCAGTGTCACAACATCTGTCCACAGTGTCACATCACATCTGTGCCAGTGTCACAACATCTATGCCAGTGTCACAACATCACATCTGTGCACAGTGTCCCTCTAGAAGTGGTGGTAGGGGACGGCTGGGAAAGCCCCTTTGCTCAAGAAAGCCTTAAGCCAGGTCTCCTCTATCCATATGGAAAAGAACAGGACAGCCATTAATTGAAAAATGGGTATTTGGCATTATCTGTATCCCAAGCTAAAAACTTTCCCACTTTGCCAAGGATCATTCTCAGCTGAGCACCCAGCCTTGGTAGACTATCATCATCAATACCTTATCAATAGACTGAAATCCATTCCTACCCAGATCTTCCACCAGCACCTCAGGCGGACAGAAGCACATGGCATGGCTGGGGACCGCCCCTCGGCCCACGGGCTTCTCAGAGGCACGGTGGTGACCGTGGGAGTGAAGGCAGCTCTGTCGGCCTCGCGTCCCGCCCAGCAAGACCCTGTCTGTTCCCGCAGGTGCCTACCCCCGGCTCTCCCTGAGCTTCCGGCTGAAGAGGAACATCGGGTACTTCATTCTGCAGACCTACATGCCCTCCATTCTCATCACCATTCTCTCCTGGGTGTCCTTCTGGATCAATTACGACGCCTCCGCGGCCAGGGTGGCCCTGGGTATGTGCTCTTTTAAAACGATATCTGAAATGGCCATGAACCGTGTCGTCACCACGTTCGGGAGCTCAGAGGCTAGAGTTCGGCGACAGGTTTTTGCCATCCTGACAGCGCCACTTTCTGTCTGGAAACCCTCATTTCTCATACGATTGCTTTGATATGTTAATTTAATTATCAGGCTCAAATTCGAATTTCCATGCCCACCAAAGGGAAAGGCATGCTTGCCGAATATTTGCATAATAAAACCATTTTTGACACTAATTTTAAAGCCAGGATTAACATCTCCTGTTTGAAATCATTTTATGGCCCAGAAAGAAGACATGGTTAATTGTGCATTTGTCTTCTTTAAGTCAGAAAAAAAGTCAAATATTTATTATAGCATGTAATTGGAATTACACGATTTAATGAGCATTAAAATATATCATCAGATTCTGAGTCATTCCCAAGAGCTCTGGTGATCTTTTCTGGCCACTGATCATTTGAGAATTATCAGCTGATGGACATTCAATAGTGTCGTTTCCAACATTATTTCTGATATATATTGAATACTTTCAATATTTTCAGGAAATAGTCTCTACTCAGCTAATTATTATGAAGCCACATGGACAAGATAAACATTCAGATGCATTTTAAGTAAATACAGAGCTGAAGAGCAATTGTCCAGTCCATCCCTTCCTTGGGGGTGGGGTTCGAATTTAACTCCTGAAAGTGGAATTATCCATAATACTTCTTTAAATTGATAGAGACGAATGAACACGTTTGCTGGTAAATTAGCTTACGGAGAAGCGTGAGAACTCGGGGTTCCAGGGATCCCTCCTCCTTCCTTTTGCTGTTTACTGTCTTTTCCCAGGACTTTAAGTAGGTTAAGAGCTCTGACCCACAGTATCCAGATAGGAAGCCAAGTGACAGAAGGAATTAGTAAATGCACAGGCCACTTAGGCTAAGAGCCCATGGGAGCCCCGACTAGAAAGCCTGTCGCGCTCAGCACAGCATCTCCTGCTAAGGGCCTCCCTGAGCCTTTGGTGCTGGGCCTGAACCAGGGTCTTCACCCACTTGAGGGCTACGGTGACCAGGCTGAGTGCCTGTGACATGGGCTGGCCTTCCTGTCCCTGGATTCTTCAGCACCAGCATGGCGTTTCCCAATTTATTTGTAAACTCTAATTCGCCCATCGCCATTTTCAGATTTTAAAAAATCCCCAGGTGTGCATAATGTTATGTTGAAGGAGAATCTTAAAATATTCCGATCTCCATGTATTCCATCGGCGATGGTGTTCACTGTTATACATAAAAGTAGTCTGTAGCTCAGCTCTTCAGGTTCCTGCTCTACTGTTCATCGCAGTTCAGAGCTGGATGGAGAGAGAGCATGTGTTTGAGGTGAGAACTTCTCTTCTCTGCTCTTCAGGTGAGCTCTGTGGACTGGAGGTTCTTTCTATAGGACACAGAGCCTGAGAAGGCCTCCCAGGAGGGAATGACCATCTGGAGGGCATCAAACCCAGACGCCTAACAAACCCAAACCTTCCACTGGAGAGTTGAGTGGGAGTCGGGTCAGAGAAGTGAGGCACTGCCTTGTGCAGAGGTGGTCTGGGCTCCGCCTGGTATCCTGGGAGCGCTGATCTCTTGGGCCTGCCCTGCCTCCTGGCCTCTGTGACATCATAGTTTTCAGGTGACTGTGGCTCAAGGACCATGGGGCTGATATAGCCTTGAGAAGGAAGATTTTCTCTCCACTCGGTCCTGGAAGACACTAGAATAATCTTATCAGTGGCACCAGATGAATGGATAGAAAAGAGCTCACCCTTTGGGCCTGGGCCATGTGGTCACGTGGCCTTACTTCCTTAAGACTTCTTCATATTTTGAGAGTCCTGTCTCCAAGAAAGGAAGTCAGCTGAGTGGTCACCTTCCTCCCCAGGAAGCAAGCGATCCAGGGCTTTCCTGCCCCCATGGCTTCACCTCATTCAACAAGCTCTGGTCATGTCACTAACCAACGTGTCCCCTGCTCCATGTGGCTCCTATATGGACTCTTTGTATAGCAGGAACCATGGAGAATTGCAAAATATGGTCTTTACATGTTCTTAGAGACTAAATTTAGTTCTGTAACAAAGTTTATGAAAACAATGAGATCATGCACACACTGCTATCTAAAGAACCCAACATAATGACATCAAAAGGGAGGGGGGCTGACCGGTTGCCCCAGAGTACAGTGCGAATTGATAGTTTGATTAAAGTCATGATCCCTTGAGTTCAGCAAACAGGTCCTGAGCAGCTTGCAGACTCTATGAGCAGGGACTAGCTCTGTGCGATCATCTCGCTTCCTTCAACTATGCCTTCTGTGAGCTCAGTGCTGATTTAGGTTCTTATAGTTTCAAAAACCATTATCTCTTTCCCTGGCCCCATAAAGCACTGTAGGAAGAGTTGTTTTCTTCCGACAGACAGGCTCACTGAGCCTCACTAACATCCTCCCCTCTCCTGCCAAAGACACCTTCTGAGATCCTCAGATTCTTCATAGAGTCCGTTTTCTTCCCCGAAGCTCCTCATCTGGACACTCAGTGTTTTCTGTGGGGTTCTGGGTGTATTTCCATGTCTCCCAGCTTTCCCAGGGAGTCCAGTCTCCTCTGGCTTCCTGCACACCTCCGTCCATCTCAGCTCCCTCCTGTCTATGGACCAAGTGAAGCAGCCTGGGAGTAGAGACATCAGCTTCCTGACCTAAATGACACATTGTATGGTCCATGGCCCTCTGATCGCTCAGTCCTATCCAATCCATTATTTCTAACTACTTCAAGCTGTTTGAGGAAATACAAAAAGAAAGTACAGAGTGAGGACTGGAGTGGCCAAGCTGTGGGCTCTCACCCTCTGTTTCTCTTGCAGGGATCACCACCGTCCTGACGATGACCACCATCAACACGCACCTTCGGGAGACCTTGCCCAAAATCCCCTACGTCAAAGCCATTGACATGTACCTCATGGGCTGCTTTGTCTTCGTGTTCCTGGCCCTCCTGGAGTACGCCTTCGTCAACTACATCTTCTTTGGGAGAGGCCCTCAGAGGCAGAAGAAGCTTGCCGAGAGGACAGCCAAGGCCAAGAACGACCGTTCAAAGAGCGAAAGCAACCGGGTAGGCCCTCCACCATCTTGACCACCCACCCATGCCATTCACAGTCCCCACCCTGACCCCAAAGCTCATCTGTCACTACCGTTGCCCGCATGACCCTTGAGTAGGTGTTGTGTGAACATGCTGATCATAACCCCAAAGGTTGTCTCCTGCAAGTCACTGAGTTTTATATAAAACTCACCCATGGCCCAGAATGGCCACAAACACGCATGAATGAATGGAGGCATGTTCATGAGTGTAAGTGGCTCACATCCTCCCAGCAAAACATAGATAGAGTTGGTTAGAGACACCCAGTATCTGTGAGTAAAATCGGGCTTCCATGGGCAAAATTATCATGACGTTCTTACTGGAAAATATACTTATACTATAATGTTTCTAAATAAGTCTACATCCCGCTATGAATACATGCCATGCTGCTTCCAGGGAAACTAGGCTTCATCACACATTATTGTTTCTACCACACAGACACACAATACTGTTTTTCCAAACTTCCTCAGCACTAACACAGATGACACATTTGCTGCCTGTCTTCTCAGCGAGACAGTTTATAAGTCAAATTGAGCTAAAGAAATACCTTTTTGAGTGTGAAGCATAAATCTTAAACAAAACCCCAAGTCTCTAATATCCACAGAGAAAATTAGCAAAATGTAGCATGAATATATTATAGATCAGATACGGCCAAAATTTTCAGTTTGTTCATGATCCATTTTATTTATTTTTTTCTGAAAATGTGTTCTGTTTTTTGAGCAGTTCTGGTAAAGACTTTACCTGTTCATATTTTTCTGTAATTGGAGGTCAGCTGTGAAGGTTTAAAGTTGGCATACAAATGCATGTGTACTAGCTTTATTTAATTTTAATTTAATTTAATTTTAGTTTAGTTTAGTTTAGTTTAGTTTAGTTTAGTTTAGTTTAGTTTAGTTTAGTTTTTGCAAGAGAAGACAACCAAATTTCACACATATGTATGTACGGGAACCCGCATGCATGAGCGAGTCAGAGACCCCACATGCAGGAGAGCTTCAGAGATAGAAAAGGGGGATCTGGGTGTATAAGACATCCTGAGCTAGGGGTGAGGTCAGGCACCTTGGGGGCTTCAAATGATAAGAGCAGAGCTTTAGTAAACTATAGATAGGTCCAAGTTTATCTCTGATCATCTCCCATTATGGGCAAGGCCTCTAATTCAAGTTCTTCTAGGGTCTAATTCAAGTTCTTCTAGGGGCACAAGTTTCTCATGAGCCTGTGGCTAAAGCTGCCTTTAGCTCAGAACAGCCCGCACACCACGGAGGCACATTTTGAGGTGACTCACTCTGGACCCCCACAGCTCCCTCCTCTGCAACTACCCTGGAAGACTCGAATTCCAGAAGTTCCAACGCATATTTGATGCTCTTAAAGATAAACCTTAAAAACCATTGCTGACACCTAGACCCAAGAATTTAGTGATCATTTTAAAGCAGAAATGAACCTCCCCCAAAAGTGCGTATCACATGAGGCGGATGGATGAAATAACTGAGAAAATCGCAGGTCTGATGCAAAACAGCCTTGGCACTAGGGCCTGGCGTGTGCGGGAGGCAATCAGTCCATGCGTCTCTCTCACATCGATATTTCTCTTGCTCTCCCTCTCCTTGTCCCTGCCTCCCTTCCAGTCTCCAAAAAAAATTTAAAAATCTATGGAAAAAATAACCTTGCATGAGGATTAACAAAAAAAGAAAAACAGGAGACTGGGTTTCCATCCAGTCTACGGTTGTAGTGCCGAAGTGAACCTCTCGAAAGCCACTTGTACTTTATTCATTTATTTATTTTTTAAATATATCTTTATTGATTTCAGAGAGAGGAAAGGAGAGGGAGAGCGAGAGATAGAAACATCAATGGTGAGAGAGTCATTGATCGAGCCCGCAACTCGGGCATGTGCCCTGACTGGGAATCGAACCCCAATCGCCTGGATCCTAGGTCGACGCTCAACCGCTGAGCCGTGCCCCGCCGGGCGCCACTTGTACTTTAGTTTTCCCTTCAGTGAGGACTTGTGCCCACGATGTGAAATTTCCTTCTGAAAAGCCCCCCTCCTCCTGTCTGATCTCTTACGTGCGAGTTTTTTAATCAGGGAAATAAAGTCTCCGAACCGCAGTTAAACCTCCAAAATGACACTCCCCGCTACACAGAGTGCCAGCTTGACAGATGCGCCCATTCCCGTAATCCGTGTGACCGCGATCGCGTGACAAGTCCGCCCCGGCTTTGCACGTGGAAATTAGTTCTCTTTAAAAAAAAAAAAAATTTTAAATTTAAAAAAAAAGCCCTGCCGGGCGTGGCTCAGCGGTTGAACATTGACCTAGGATCCAGGCGATCAGGGTTCGATTCCCGGTCAGGGCACATGCCCAGGTTGCGGGCTCGATCAATGACTCTCTCATCATTGATGTTTCTGTCTCTCTCTCCCTCTCCTTTCCTCTCTCTGAAATCAATAAAGATATATATATTTTTAAAATTAAAAAAATTTAAAAATTTTAAAAAAGAAATAAGCTCTCGCGGCTCGCTGGCCGGCTAACGATGTGCGTTTCCTCCCCGTTAGGTGGATGCTCATGGGAATATCCTGTTAACGTCCCTGGAGGTTCACAACGAAATGAATGAGGTGGCGGGCGGCGTCGGGGAGACCAGGAATTCAGCAATATCCTTCGACAACTCAGGAATCCAGTACAGGAAACAGAGCATGCCCAGGGAAGGGCATGGGCGGCACCTGGGGGACCGGGGCCTGCCGCACAAGAAGACCCACCTACGGAGGAGGTCTTCACAGCTCAAAATTAAGATCCCCGATCTCACCGACGTGAACGCCATAGACAGGTGGTCCCGGATCGTGTTTCCTTTCACGTTTTCTCTCTTCAACTTGGTTTACTGGCTCTACTACGTTAACTGAGCGGCCGGACTCGATTTTTCAAAGACTCCGTTTATCACTGAGTGGAATATTACTCTGCCTGTCGAAGTTTTTATACCTGTACACACACACACACACGCAGACACACGCAGACACACGCAGACACACACATCTATACATACGCAATTGTATATATATGTGAACTTTCTCAGCATATATATAAAATACATGTGTATATGGGGGGGGTGTGTGTATATGTTTATGCACGTGGGTGTGTCCCCACGTGCATGTGAAACAGATACACACACACACACATTTTGCAGCGACGGACAAACACAGGACGCGTACTCCGGAAAGTCACGGTTTTTTCTTTTCTAATCGAAAGGGACAAGCGTTGTCTAAATATCATGCCTTGAGGAGGAGGGCGGGAAACATACCATCCTCCCAACCCGTGTCTTTTATGATCCTAAGTTAGCAGTTTGGGTTTAAAACCAGAAAGACGCTCTCGGTCCTCGGAACCCCCGGGCGGCGGCGTTGATACTTCCCGAAGAGTCGCAGGCTCACCTCCTCTCTCTCGGTGGACGAAGCGAAGGCTCTTGGGCTCTTCGGCGATGGGGTTTCACTCACTGGACGTACTTTCCTGCGCTGGGTTCGTGGGCGAGGTGGGCGCGCTCCCCTCCGTCTGTCTCAATGTGGACAGACCCCTGAAACTCCACCTGGGGCACACCCTTCGGGACGGATGGCTTCTCTGGTTGTAAGGACTCTGACGCACGGCGCGTCTTTGTCACTCGGAGCGGTCGGCTTGCCCGTCCTGCGGGGACTCGGTGGCAACGGTCAGCTGACATTTCAGTGGCCACAGACGTGCTCCATGTCTCATCGGTGGATCTCCAGGCCCGATGTTCCCGGGAAGCATAGACGTCTCAGGTTCTTTGTTCCTAAGGTAAAACCATCGGGACCACCTCCCGCGTGTCTCTCCGTTGTCGATCACCCTTACGCCATTGTATGTTAAAATCAGATATATTTGCATAATATGCACCCATATGTATATTGCCCCGGTTTTGGTTTCTATGCTTGCTACCCCGGCAGCATGCGGTGTCATATTTTTTCCCGTGATGTAACTACTTTCTGTTACCGAGAATTAAGATCGAAGCTCAAACACTCCTACTGTCCAGTGTCAGAACCCGAGAAACATCCTCACGCCTTTATTTCTGTCTCTGACATTCGTCATAAGCACATCCAGCCGCTCCTGGTCCACCCGGGACACGGGAGCGCGACCAGCCCTCACGCGCGTTGCCCCCTGACCCACGGCCATTCTCTCGAGGCAGAGGAGGGCCGCCTGGCCATACGCTCGTTTCCTTCCATCCGATCCGCAGCCTCATCCGTATCTGGGACTTTTTACAGCTCGTACCGACATGACCAGGTGCACCGGTTTCATAGACGCAACCTTAACTTACTATTTAGACGAGATCTTTCTAAAGAAAAAAACAAAGAGATGATATATTTTTTGTAAAACAATATTTCTATCACAGGCATCCATAGACTGAAACGACTACAGTTGTGCAGACACAGGTCACGGCGCAGTTACGCATTTGGAGAAAAAAAACAAAACAAGAGCCAAATATTCAGAAGAAAACTGCTAAATTGATACCTTACCCCCCCAAATGCCATTTATGCCTCGCCCTCTGTTCTGCCCCATGACCAGAGTCGCACCCAGTCCCCTGGCAGCTGGTGGCAGTGTCCCCACCTAGGCGCAGGGACCACCTTTCTGAGCATGCGTGGGGTGGGCCCTCGCCATGGCCTGGCCATCACGAGATTTTCCTTTCATTTGTGGGAGTCTGTAGCAGCTCAAAACCCACTGTAGGTGAAACTTAGTTCGCAAAGTCTCATGCTAGAGGCAAGGACCGATTTTTCTTTCACTCGAGGGGTGAGGGTATTTTTTTCCAGTGATTTTTAAATTTAATTTAATTTTATTTTATTTTATTTAAATATATCTTTATTGATTTCAGAGAGAGGAAAGGAGAGGGAGAGAGAGATAGAAACATCAGTGATGACAGAGTCATTGATCGAGCCCGCAACCCGAGCATGTGCCCTGACCGGGAATCGAACCCCGATCACCTGGATCCTAGGTCGACGCTCAACTGCTGAGCCACGCCCGGCCAGGCTCCAGTGATTTTTTTAGAGAGTGGAAGGGAGGGAGGAAGGGAGGGAGAGAGAAACATCGATGTGAGAGAGGCAGCGATTGGTCGCCTCCCGCTCACCAGGGGCGGGAATCGAACCTGCAACCCGGCTACATGCCCCTGACCGGGAATCAAACCCGAGACCCTCCAGGGCGCAGGCCGACGCTCGAACCACTGAGCCACGCCGGCCAGGGCACAAGAAGCGATGTTTATAACACCGTTTCCCCTCCATTCCTACCTTCCTTCAACGTCTTCTCCCTGATCCCGCCCCCTGGTTCTGTTTTTCTCGAGAGACTCGCCCGTGATTTCTTGGTCTCTGGCTGTTTCTCTGCCAATTTTTTTTTCCCCCATGGGTAACACGGGGGGAGCTTAAACGTTCCACAGATTGGGAAAAACCTTGTAAGTGGCCTTATCGTTGTCAACATGTTAAAGATTAACAGCGACGTTTGCAGAGACCTTACCCCTTCCAGCACTTCAGGTAATTTCTTTTCCGTATCTGGTAACGCAAGCAAGCGACTCCGCGTGGAGAGGAGGGACCCCAGATGCAAATGAACGCGGACAACACGCAGTCCTCGGTCCGTTTCAGGGCGACGGGTACTATTCGGAACTGGGACGTTAATCCTTTCCGGCAAAACATTTTTGATGCCTCGTTGAGGAACCCCAACATCCAAGGCAGAGACCCCCACGGGACTCAGAGGAGCTGCTGTCTACTTCCCAAGGTTTTCCGGATCTCAATTTGCATGGTTATAGTCACAGTAGCTTTTGAGCTTTTTCTATGCTTTTGGCACCGACTGGGACCCACAACTTTGTAGACACTGCGATGAAGTTAACATAATAGCTATACTATAAATAGTGTTTGTAACTACACACGCGCGCGCGCACACACAGACGCGTACATATATTCTGTAAAAATACTTTTTAAGATCCTTGGGTATGTGTTTGCTTTACTCCATCGAAGAAGAAAATTCCTTTTCTGCTAATACCGTTCTTTTATAGCTTCTCCATTTTTCAAAGTTGTGAGGAACTGAGAAGCGGAACTCTGGCCGTCTGAGCAGCGAGGGTTGTGCTGGGTTCTCGGTTGTCACAGTGACCTCTCGTTACTACACGGTAGTTCCCGGAGCCAGCGGGCGAGCGGCGCCGACCATTCCGAACCCGGACGTCGGAGGTCCCTGTCGGGTGGCTGGTGCCCAGGTCCGGACCTCTTGAGTCAGGAGAGACAAGCTGAATTTGGAATATCATGCTATTTCTTTCTCAACAACCTGAACGGAATAAAACGTTAATTTCCTAAGTCGTCCTGTCTTTCCGAAATGCTCCGAAGGGGCTCGCGATGTCCAGACGAGTCTCGTTATGACCCATGTTCAGGCATCCTTGAGACCCTTCAAGAGCCTGACTCCATAAATCCCCACAGACAGAGACTGATCACACTCGAGTCACCTGTAAAAAAGTGTTCCTCTCGTCCACCGACCCCAGCACCGTAGGGAGGTCTCACTGTCTATACCATGAGCCATTCATTTCCCTCTGGATCTGAAGCGAACTAGAAACTATGCCATGAGCATACTCCTGTTAGGCCTGACAATTACAAGTACACCCTCGGTCGCGCGTGCTTTTAACGCCGGCGCCCAGAGCTTTCCGCATGCCCGGTCATTCCCATTGAAGGAGCTCCCTGGCCCTGCCCGGCTCTGGAATTAATATTTCCACCCAGGAGCCCCTCACAGGGTGATGCCAAGCGCGTTTGGGGCTGGTTTTAAAGGGATAAGTAGATCACGAGCCCAGATGCTCGTTTTTGGCATCTGGGAGGGAATCCCGTTGGTATTGGTCTCACCCATGGGTATTCTAAGAAAGAGAATGGGCCCAGCTTTGGGTCTCCTGTCTCGAAAGAATAAACATCCCATAGTTCTTAATTTAACTCTCCACCTGGAAACCAGTCCAGTGTATGTAAGCAACACTGAACAATTGGTGAAACATTCTGTGACTCGTGGCACTGACTCTAGCTTCCCCTCTATGGGGCCCATCGGTCAGTGAGACACTGAATGGTGGGGCAGAGAGCTGCCCGGGTGGATTACATTTCCCCAGGACACCAGCTGGTGTGCCCTGGGTCGATTACCTCTTCTACTGTGCTGAAAGGTGCCATGTTTTCCTGAAACACTCAATTCCCAACACCTGGGTAAACAGCGACCTCCCGAGACTGGCTCACACACCGGGCCCCTCCCGAGGGCCGGCCCCATCCACGCATTTTGTCATTCTTGTCTTATATTTCTCCGTCACAGGTCAGTGAGTATGTCCAAGGTAAGTACAGGATTATTCTAGTAGGAACAGGCGATTGCTGTCGTGATCAATTACCATGTTGATTTCATCTCATTGTAAAGATAAAACCCAGTTTTGCTTAAGCACATTGATGTAATTTTTTGGTATTATTTGACATGAAAAAAAAAACAAAAACACAAAGCAAAATTGAGTGATAGATACAATATGAAACTTGTTGATGAATGAATTCAAATTTATTAAAAAAGGACTGACTGACTGAAATATGGAGACTGATTTCTTTTTTCTTCCTTGGCTATCTACTGTTGAGATGGTGTGATTTTAATTCCAGACCTTTTTAGTTGCACGTTGCCTATTTAGGTTAAGCTGAAAGCGAAACGAAAGAAGCTCAAAACTGATTGCACGAGAAACCAAATGAACCATGACTTGTGTGTTTTTTAAATCACTCATTCTGAACTTCAAAGGATAACTAGTCACACAGAGATCCAGCCTGTCACTATCTTTAAATAAGTGTTTTAAGAGAGAAATATTTTTATATTAAAGGCCAAGGAAACAACCTACTGACAACTTCTGGCAGGGGTGCTATTTGTCCTCACTCTCTAATTATTACTAACAAGCCATTTCCCGTTTCTTCTCCAGTGAGAATGTAATAAGCAATATCTATGGATGGCTAGAAGAATGGATGGATGATGGATGGACGGATGATGGGTGGATGGATGGATGATGGGTGGATGGATGGATGATGGGTGGATGGATGATGGATGATGAATGGATGCATGGAT